GATCTCATTTTTGTCAGCATAGTTACTCCCTTTGCAACAACAGCATCCTTTATTTCATTTTTCTTGGCCACTATGGAACATAAGGTTGTGTAGGGTTTCTTATACATCCTGGACAGTTCAGCCACACTTGTACCACTTTCATATTGTTCAATGATGGTTTTCTTAAATTCAATCGTATTTCTCACCTTCTTTACCACAGGCTTGGCACTAGGAGCTTTCTTTGGAGCCATGGTAGCTTATTTAGTACTTGCAAGCACTAAAATAAATGGAATATTATGAAATATTTCGCTGGAGCACGCGAGGGGACCTTCGCTCACTGGTAAACAATGCCAGACTGGCTGCCGCCCTGGCTCACGCCGTGCGTACGCGTCCCGGACGAACTACGACTCGCGAGTCAACCTATGAAAAGCGAGTCCATGTTTATACGAAAATACCCCTATGATTGGCGAATTTTACGATTGCCGGGAACTACGAAAAGTGGGGGACCACTGTAAATTAATTAATAAAAAAGATATATATAGAAAAATAATTTTTCAAGTAAGATACATATTTTCATTAGGTGAGATGGAAGATGAAGTCACGGTAAGAGATAACATTCTAACATCCCTACTCTAGTTGTACAGAAATTGTACAAGTCCACTACGGGAAACTGATCAGGGACACGTCTAGCTCTAGGCGTCGGTGGTCTTGCTGAATCAGTTGAGTTCAAGCTTTCGGGGGAAACTGGACGTATTTCGTTACTCTTGGAGATTTGTGTTTGAAAATAGGCAACAGATATTTGAGACTGCGGCAACATATATGAAAGTAACGACTTAACTGTTGCTTCTTGTGGAAGCTAGCTGCGATGGGCTAGTTTTACTTGAAACCAAAGTGCAGTCAAGTATTGTCCATTATGATGGATCGATTTGTGGTTAAACAAAAACGCAATAGTGATGAACAGCAATCCCAGGCCCGACCAGGAGAAAAGGAGCATTAAGTAAGTTTGGTCTTTATTTTGCTATTAATAACAAGATATGCAGGCTAATATTACCATGTCTAATTTTTCTCATTTACTATACTGCACTAGCAGCTCAGTACTACTTAATTTAGTTGAGTTACGCTAACTTGCAGTAGCTGCAGCTCTCTCAATCAATGTATTTAACCGAAGTGGCTCTCTTGCAAAAATTAGTGAATAACACTGCTTTAAATAAATGTACATTGGTACAGTGGATCACTGAAATCTCAGCTTACTTATTAGGTCTGCTGGCCATTTTGTACATGTGAACATGAGAGTCAACTAATTGTGAATATAAGGAAAATTTTTGAGAATGAAATTAAGCAACAAAAAATCTGGAGAACATATAAAGAAAATGGTATTCACCTTATCCTTTTATTTCCCTCTTGTAAAATATGAGGCAGTATATAGTACTTGATAGAAGCATCATATTTGTTGACATATGATGGATGTGTGTCAAGCTGCATCAAGCTGGGTGTAGAAATGTGATGCATCTGCATCAAGCTGAGTGTCGAAATGTGATGTATCTGCATCAAGCTGAGTGTAGAAATGTGATGCATCTGCATCAAGCTGAGTGTAGAAATGTGATGCATCTGCATCAAGCTGAGTGTAGAAATGTGATGCATCTGCATCAAGCTGAGTGTATAAATTTGATGCATCTGCATCAAGCTGAGTGTCGAAATGTGATGTATCTGCATCAAGCTGAGTGTAGAAATGTGATGCATCTGCATCAAGCTGAGTGTATAAATTTGATGCATCTGCATCAAGCTGAGTGTAGAAATGTGATGCATCTGCATCAAGCTGAGTGTAGAAATGTGATGCATCTGCATCAAGCTGAGTGTAGAAATGTGATGCATCTGCATCAAGCTGAGTGGAAATGTGATGCATCTACATCAAGCTGAGTGCGAAATGTGATGTATCTGCATCAAGCTGAGTGTAGAAATGTGATGCATCTGCATCAAGCTGAGTGTAGAAATGTGATACATCTACATCAAGCTGAGTGTAGAATGTGATGCATCTGCATCAAGCTGAGTGAGAAATGTGATGCATCTGCATCAAGCTGAGTGCAGAAATGTGATGCATCTGCATCAAGCTGAGTGTATAAATGTTGATACATCTGCATCAAGCTGAGTGAAGAAATGTGATGCATCTACATCAAGCTGAGTGTAGAAATGTGATGCATCTGCATCAAGCTGAGTGCTAGAAATGTGATGCATCTGCATCAAGCTGAGTGCAGAAATGTGATGCATCTACATCAAGCTGAGTGAGAAATGTGATGCATCTGCATCAAGCTGAGTGAGAAATGTGATGCATCTGCATCAAGCTGAGTGTATAGAAATGTGATCATCTACATCAAGCTGAGTGCAGAAATGTGATGCATCTGCATCAAGCTGAGTGCAGAAATGTGATGCATCTGCATCAAGCTGAGTGTAGAAATGTGATGCATCTGCATCAAGCTGAGTGTAGAAATGTTGATGCATCTGCATCAAGCTGAGTGCAGAAATGTGATGCATCTGCATCAAGCTGAGTGCAGAAATGTGATGCATCTGCATCAAGCTGAGTGTAGAAATGTGATGCATCTGCATCAAGCTGAGTGCAGAAATGTGATGCATCTGCATCAAGCTGAGTGCAGAAATGTGATGCATCTGCATCAAGCTGAGTGCAGAAATGTGATGCATCTGCATCAAGCTGAGTGCAGAAATGTGATGCATCTGCATCAAGCTGAGTGCAGAAATGTGATGCATCTGCATCAAGCTGAGTGCAGAAATGTGATGCATCTACATCAAGCTGAGTGCAGAAATGTGATGCATCTGCATCAAGCTGAGTGCAGAAATGTGATGCATCTGCATCAAGCTGAGTGCAGAAATGTGATGCATCTACATCAAGCTGAGTGCAGAAATGTGATGCATCTGCATCAAGCTGAGTGCAGAAATGTGATGCATCTACATCAAGCTGAGTGCAGAAATGTGATGCATCTACATCAAGCTGAGTGCAGAAATGTGATGCATCTGCATCAAGCTGAGTGCAGAAATGTGATGCATCTGCATCAAGCTGAGTGCAGAAATGTGATGCATCTGCATCAAGCTGAGTGCAGAAATGTGATGCATCTGCATCAAGCTGAGTGCAGAAATGTGATGCATCTGCATCGAGTGCAGAAATGTGATGTAAGAGGGGTTGATTAGAAAAGCCTGAGAAGCAGGGATAATACCTGTTCCTATATTCAGATTATATTTGTATTAAGAAGTGCTAGTCCTGCATCATGTTGAATGTAGGAACACAATACCACAGGGTTGATTGCTGCAGAATCATCCAAGTCCTCACTAGCAGTCAGAGGAGGGGATTCGGGTGATGCAAATTTTTAAAATAAAGGCAACAGTGTGCATTGTTTCATATTGTTTATGTTTCACAAATGCATCCCATATCCTAGTTATCACCATGATTTTTGGTTTACCATTGAAACTAGTCTTTATACATTCCATAAAAGTCATGCTTTCACCAAAAGAGCAACTACACTCCTGCATTTTTCATCTTCACTAGTTGCCCTCGGAGTTGACGACTGCCTTAACGATATGGGCATCACTGTTTTAAATACATTATTATATCTACAGTTCTTAATCAGTCCTCCACTAAGGAAATGTGAGTGAAGCCACCAGATATGTATAAAATATCAATTCTACAGTATTTGGTGAATAAATAATGGCAAAAAATATTTCAACACTATATTGAATTTGACTCACGAAATCGTAATGACACGATTGCAAATGAACCATACCACGTGTGGGGATAGAACCCACGATCAGAGAGTCTCAAAACTCCAGACCGTCGTATTAGCCACTGGACCAGCTAGCCACAATAAGATTCGTCCAACTATGTATATTTCTACACCATAGGAAGGTTAGCATAGGCACCACTGTCACCACAAATGCAAGTTTTTACAGACGAATCTCCAGCTAGCGTGGCCGTGACAAGCTCTAGCTCAAGTCCCCTCAAAGCCGTCAACATGACTCACGAAATCGTAATGACACGATTGCAAACAAACCATACCACGGGTGGGAATAGAACCCGCGATCAGAGAGTCTCAAAACTCCAGACCGTTGCGTTAGCCACTGGACCAGCTAGCCACAATAAGATTCGTCCAATTAGGTATATTTCTACACCATAGGAAGGTTAGCATAGGCACCATTGTGACTACAAATGCAAGTTTTTACAGACGAATCTCCAGCTAGCGTGGCCGTGACAAGCTCTAGCTCAAGTCCCCTCAAAGCCATCAACATGACTCACAAAATTGTAATGACACGATTGCAAACAAACCATACCATGGGCGAGGATAGAACCCACAATCAGAGAGTCTCAAAACTCAACGCGACGGTCTGGAGTTTTGAGACTCTCTGATTGCGGGTTCTATCCCCGCTCGTGGTATGGTTTATATTGAATTCAACATTAATTATTTTTAAATCTATAGTTCTTAACTAAACTACATTAAACAATTATCAACTCTTCACATCTATGTAAAATGAGTGTACACAGAATACGATTGTATTAATGTAAAAATACCATAAGAGAAAAATTAATTTATAGAAAATAATTTTTTTGAAAGCTTGGCACTTGCTAGTAACTGAACTTCCATAACATTTCCCTACAAAGACGCATCATTCAGCATGGTAACCTATCATGTATTATGAGTGATACATGAATGGCTAGTTGTTTGTCTAGTACTCAATGATTTGTATGGTATTTTTGTATGTAAATTTAGTATCAGATATTTTGTGTAGAAACGTCAACATTCTTCCCTGAGAGTTTCTCATTTCCAAGTACTGTACTAAACCAGAATTTTGCAAGTTTGAGGTTTGGTGTTCACTGTACTGATATCAAAAAAGTCATTTGGGTTTCTGTAGTAAATCTACCTTTTTAAATTATACATACGTAGTTTTATTACTGTTATATGTGGGAATACAGCATTTGGCATCAGTACTGTAATAATTTACTTCTGTTGTGCCCATTACAGGACAGCCTCCTATGGGAAGAGCAGTGCGAGGTGAAGGGATTCTGAACACAAGTGTATCTTATTACCTTCCATATGGGATATTAATACAGGATCCTAATCCTGAGGAAGAGTGTTTACAGGCACAAGTAGAGGTAAATGATCTAATTCTGTTCTAACTACCAGTCATAGGTATCATCATTATTATTACCATGCTCTCACCAGTGCTATGCACTCTAAGAGAATAATACTTTCTATAAAGAGTAAGTAAACAGGAAAGGGATTAAGAATGAAAGTTTACCCTTTCACTGTCGTATAGATCCACGTCATTGACACCAGTGCCGCTCACGTAGATCAAAGTTTTAAGCACAGCTTTCTCAACTGTGTTCTGACATACTGGTGAATAGAGATGATTTTGTCAGTTTCATACTGGAAGTAGCATGAAAAAGGGCTTAAAGTAGTGTAAGTATTTGAGTTATGGCAATCTTTCCTGTGGAAGGGTAGAGCCCTTAATCCCCCCTCCCCCATCTTGTTTTATTGGAGTGTACTAGGTCTGCTTTAGTTATTGGGACAGTCTAAATCAGGAGCCCAAGATTGTTTAACTCCCTCTCAGCATATATAAGGGGGATAACTAGTAGATCCTGGCTGCCTTCAAAAGGGAGCTGGACAGGCACCTAAGGTCAATACCTGACCAGCCGGGCTGTGGTTCGTACATCGATTTGCATGCGGCCAGCAGTAACAGCCTGGTTGATCAGGCCCTGATCCACTGCAATGCCTGGTAATGAACTGGGCCATGAGGGTGTTGACCCCTGGAACACCCTGTAGGTATAAAATATTAATCTGAGAAATAGGGTAAAATTTTAATTTTTCTGGCAGTGGATTGAAAATGGAGGGTAAGTGTTTTATTGGAGAGGCCTGGAAATGTGATTAATGAACAGAGGATAGATAGCTTTAGTAGCTGGAATGCCTACAGTGTTTATTTTGGTTGTTTTAAATTGGAATATGTTGAATTTTGTGTAAAATTGGCAAAATTACTGACTTCTGTGTACACTATAATTCTGCTAGTTGAATGAGTAGTTTCTTATGCTCAATTAATAGAACAGAAGGCATACTAGTAAAATAGCTACAAACTGGGTCAAATTGAATATTGGCATTGACATAAAATAGAATTCAAGGTGGGCAAAATTGTCTTTGTGCAAATTGTGCCCAGACTGGTATCATTACACCAATATAATTTCTTAAGTTTTCCATCAGATTTTGCATTTTTGGTGTCATTAACTTCAGAAAATTTTTCTAACATTTCAGAAGATAAAATAATTTTTCTTTAAATTGTGACACTAAGGGTTAACCCTTTAGGGGTCTGTCCCATAATATTACGGCTTTGAAGTCAGGGTCGGTCCCGGAATACTACGCCAAAATTCTAGTGGCTTCCATCTTGTGAGGAAAGCTAGTACGCCTACACATGAGATAATGGGTCTGCGTGGTCAGTGTGCACAGCATAAAAAAATCTTGCAGCACGCAGTGCATAATGAGAAAAACTGAGACACTGTTTTTGGTGTAAAACAGTGACTTTGCAGTGTATTTTGTATGGTTTTTATGGTTGTATTCTCAGTTTCTTGGTCTCATTTGATAGAATGGGAAATATATTACAGATTTTGAATGGTTTACAGACTGAAAGTAGCTTGAAATTGAGCTTAAAGTAACAGAAATGTTTGATTTTTGCAGATGTTCCAGAGTAAACAATTTACATCACATCCAGTACCCATCAATTGGCCAGTCTTATATGCACTCATGAATGCACTGACCTTATTTAACCCCTTGACTGTCGCAACCCCCAATCCTGAGGTGTCTCCTGGTGTCACAAAATTTAAAAAAAAAAATTATTTTTTCTTATGAAATGATAAAGAATCTTTTCCCGATTGTAATGACACCAAAAAAAAAACGAAATTTAATGGAAAACTGACGGAATTATGCTCTCGCGAAGTTAGCGACCTCAGCGCTGTTTAAAAATCGGCGATTTTCGCCCACTTTGAGCCATATTTTCGGCTAATTCTGTTGTTCCAGCCGCCCAAACTCATAGCTATTTCTTTAGAATTCCATTTTTTCTATCGATTGAGTACAAGAAACTGCCCATTTACCGATTTCAACTACCTAATAATGTGGTCAGAAATTTGCAATTTGGCCAATTTCACGAAAACTAAAAAATATGACAATTTCAAAATAAGGGCCAGAATGAACAATGCAGACATTCCTGGCTCTAAAATAACATTTTCTTTGTTCATCAGTCACGTCTCCAGGCCCCTCTGATGTTACTCTTGCTTTCTATTTTGAATTTTTATTCAAACAAAAAAATAGAAGACTTACTATTATGCAGACTACTGCAATGCTGTAATAACTGTATAAATAACATCAACCCATTCATGACTGCATATTAAAATGGCTAGTTAGACATTTATTGGACAATGGCATCATTTGTTTACTTTTGAACATTGGCAAAAATCAAACATTTCCCCTACTTTGAGCTCCATTTCTAGGTTCTTTTTATAGTAAAATCACTATTTCTATAATATGTTTTCCATTCTATCAAATGAGACCAAGAAAACGAGAATACAACCATAAATACTATACGAAAATAGACCACAAAGTCGGCATTTTAATTAAAAAAAACGGTCGGAGTTTTTTTTTTTCTCATTATGCACTGCGTGCTCCAGGATTTTTTTTATATGGTGCACACTGACCACACAGACCCATTCTCTCACATGTGGGCCTACCAGCTTTCTCCTGCTTGATTTGAAGCCGCTAGAATTTATGAGTATATATACGTCAAACACGATACCTCGTAAGACGTATATATACGGCCGCGACAGTCAAAAGGTTAAACAGTTATTACCATTATGCAGTAATCTGAATAACAGTAAATCTTCTGTTTTTTTGGTGTGAATAAAAATTCAAAATGAAAAGCAAGTGTTATACAAGGGGGCCGGAGATGTTACTAATGAACTGAGAAAATGTTATTTTAGTGCCAGCAATGTCTACATTATTTATTCTGGACCCTATTTTGAAATTGGCCTTTCTTGAATTTTTTGTGAAATTAGCCAAATTAGTAATTTCTGATCACTTTATTGGTTAATTGAATAGGTAAATGGGCAGTTTCTTGTACTCAGTCAATAGAATGAAAGGAGTTCTAGCTAAACACCTATGAGTTTCCTTGACTGGGACAATGGAATTGGCTCAAAGTGGGTGAAATCACCTATGTGTAAATGTCATCGAGACCCTAACTCTGTGAGAGCATAATTCCGTAAGTTTTCCATTAAATTTCATGCTTTTGGTTTCATTACCTTTGGAAAAAGATTCTCTATAATTTCATAAGTGTTTCCCCCCCCCTGGGAGCAAGTTTGCGTGCGGGGGTCTCGACCTCAAAGTGTTAATTTTTGCCCCTGTATAACTACCTCCTTTTCCTTAGATTGAGCCTGATTGCCTCCCATTCCCTAGGAGTGCATGATAGCAACAGGTTTAGTGCTTCTCTATAAAAAATGTGATACCCGTAAGTCTTGATATTTCTATTACATTGGCTCACAAATTTTTTTTCTGATATACAGTAAACCTCAGTATAATAGTCGTTTAAAATTATGTGCAGAATTCACTGGTTAAGTTGTATTTTTTACTTTTTTGTTTTCAGTGTTTATTGCAATATAGTACATGTATTTGTAAATTTGTGTGTACAGTACGGTGGACCCTTGGTTTTCGTGAGTCTCAGTTTTCATGAATTTTGGTTATAGGCAACTTTTTTCGTCAAATTATAGCCTTGGTTTTTGTGATTTCCCTTGGATTTCGGCAGCTGTACGGATTGTGTCCCAGTGGCATTGTTTCTCAGCGAGTGAACATTACCTGCGAGGTAATACAAAACATTTCATAATAATACATTGTTTTTTGCACTTGTTTATTGTGTGTGACTGCTAAATAAGCCACCATGGGCCCAAAGAAAGCTGCTAGTGCCAGCCCTTTGATAAAGAAGGCAAGAAACACGAGAGAATTCAAGAAAGAACACATCAGTCAGGGTACTTTCCCACACACCAGCCAGGGTACTTCACCATGCACACCAGCCAGGGCACTTCACACACACCAGGCAAGATACTTCCTCACACACACCAGCCAAGGTACTTACCCACACACACCAGCCAAGGTACTTCCCCACACACACCAGCCAGAGTACTTCCCAACACACATCAGCCAGGGTACTTCCCCACACACACCAGCCAGGGTACTTCCCCACACACACCAGCCAGGGTACTTCCCCACACACACCAGCCAGGGTACTTCCCACCACACACAGCCAGGGTACTTCCCCACAACCAGACAGGGTACTTCCCCACACCAGCCAGGATACTTCCCCACACACCAGAAAGGGTACTTCCCTACACACCAGGCAGGGTACTTCCCTACACACCAGACAGGGTACTTCCCTACACACCAGACAGGGTACTTCTCCACACCAGCCAGGGTACTTCCCCACACACCAGCCAGGGTACTTCCCCACACACCAGCCAGGGTACTTTCCCCACACACACCTGACAACCCTATGCCTGTTGTGGAATCTATTGTAGCTTTGGGGAAGTCCATGGGGTTGGATGTGAGTAGCCAGGATGTGGAAGAGTTGGTGGAGTACCACAGTGAAGAGCTAACCACTGAAGAGCTGCAAGACCTTCATCTGGAGCAGCAACAGACCACAGCTGAGGAAATTGCTTCAGAGGAGGAGGAAGAGAGAGGGAAGAAGGTGCAAACGGAATGAATTGCGAAGTTTTGTGGAGAAACGTCACCCTAACAAAGCTGTTGCAGGCTGTGTCTGCAACATGTTCAATGACAACACCTTGTCCCATTTTAGGCAAATCTTAAAGAGATGCCAGAAACAGAGTTCTCTGAAAAAAAAATTTGTGTGACAGGGGTCCAGTGACTCTCAAGCTGGTCCTAGTGCCAGTAAAAAACAAAGAAGGGAAGTAACCCCCAATAAGGACTTGATACCCATAGTCTTTATGGAAGGGGCTCTGGTGGCCTGGTGGTTAACGCTCTCGCTTCACACGGTGAGGGCCTGGGTTCGATTCCCAGCCAGAGTAGAAACATTGGACGTGTTTCTTTCCACCTGTTGTCTATGTTCCCCATCAGTAAAATGGGTACCTGGGTGTTAGTCGACTGGTGTGGGTCGCATCCTGGGACACTGACCTAAGGAGGCCTGGTCACAGACCGGGCCGCGGGGGCGTTGACCCCCGGAACTCTCTCCAGGTAATCTCCAGGTAAGGGGATTCCCCTTCCGAACCATAATCAGTCCTCCCTCTCCCCCCCTCCCTGTCTTCCATACGTCACCAAGAGTCTTCAGTAAAGGTAAGTGTGATGTTATTATTGCTTTATATTGATTTGTCATTCTTTTCTGTATGTAAATCTATATTTAATCTCTAAAAAAAAAAAGATTTTTTGTTATTCCTTTTGGGTGTCTGGAATGGATTAATTGGATTTACATTATTTCTTATGGGGAAAATGGTTTTGGTTTTTGTGAATTTTGGTTTTCGGCAGACTCTCTGGAACGGATTAATCACAAAAACTATGTGTCCACTGTACTACAATTGACCATTGGATAATATAGTGGTTACATTCCTGAAAATGGCATGTAAATGTAATTGAAGAACATACAGGGAAGAAAAAGTTATGTTCATTATGCCCCCAGAAAAGATAACCTTATTTTTAATAGGTCTCAGAATTGTATAACACAATGATAATGTAATTGTAGGTTGATGTGCGTCAGTCAAAGATCCTGCAACCACATCTCTGCAAGCAGACAGAGGTACCT